TGCCCAAATGAGACGCATGGGAGAGAATAAGGTAAAAAACAAACAAACAAACACACAAACAAACTCAGCTTCAACCTAATGGACCAAACTCTGACCTAAGTTACCTCAGCCAAAAGAGTTAATTACTAGACTACCTCACGACTCAATTTACTCTTGTTGGATTAAGTAAGCACCATGTCCTCAGCAGGGTTTTCCTCTGTGGTCTCCATGTGTTTATGTCTCACAAACATCAACCGTTATCAAACATTCCGATGACGCAGTCGCATCATTCGAATGGGTGCTATCGCTCTATAGCTCATTTCCTCTCAAGTTTGACAAATTGTACATTTTTCAGACACCTTACTGCACATGCTGTTTGTGAGAAGTTACACATTAAATTATTTTTGCCTTCCTTCTAAATTGAAGCAGCTTGTCTATTCTCCTCTGACATTAACAATGTGTTTTCATCAACAGGGCAGCATTCTATGCTGGAGATTTAAAATCTCAAATCTGCAAGTCATCAGTTTTGAAAACATTCTGGGACCTGTCTGTCTGGCACCACCAACAATGACAGATTTAAAGACACCAAAATCCTTTCTTCCACATTCCCAGTCTCAGTTTAAACCTCTGCAGGTCTTCATCATCAGGATAGGTAAATGCAGCTGGGTTTCCGCTTCTGCCTACATTAAATAGGGGCTTACATCATGAAATGTCTCCCTCTATTTAAAATGTGACGGACTTGTTTTAAGTTCAGTTACGCCTTCTGCTGTATGATGTCTGCCTTCATGTCTTATCTAACCACCTGTCAAGAAGGCGCTTATCCCAATGTGTCTTACAGAACAGGGCTGGTGTTGGCAATAATCCTGCTATAAGCTGAAAATCTGGCTGAGATGAAGGCAGCATGTCTGACCAATCCTTTGACTTGTGTATCCATAACGCAGTTTAAAGATCATCTTCTATCTTCTAATCTCTCCTTTTGAGGGAAAGGAAAATTGGTCACATCACATCACATATAAAAAGCAGAACTTGTTACTCCTGCATTGTCAGAACTTCTCCTTCTGAACGTCAGACGCTATAAACAGAGTGAAGCTTTCTGCATGTCTGTGGCAAAGACAGCAGCCAAGCTATTTTTGTGAGAGCTGTAATGAGGATCTTGACATCTTGATTGATGATGATATATCAAGAGCAAAAGCACCAGCCAGCCTACACACAGCTCACACTGCACCACTGTTATTTTACCGTAATGGCAGGCACAAGCATGGGAACAGTAATTTCTGTCAGCTCCTATGGTGATCTTCAAAGCCTGCATAGGATATGAACCCCGGAACGTTCCCTGAGAGGTCGCCAAGAGGATGAAGAGATAAGCTCTGGAAGAATTCAAAGCCTTGTGCTGGTCACTTCTCCATTGCACACAAAGGACATGGTAATATCTCAGGCACTTTCCTGTTCCCCGTCTGCAGCCACAAAGCAGCCATGTGAGCGGATATGTGCTCCAAAAATTCAGGAATAAATTAACCAAAACAATCAATTTTTTAAAGCATAGCCAGTGTTTGCTGGTGCTCTTTTCAAAAACCAAAGTGGGGATGGAAAGCGCTGTAACTTTGACCGATTAGTCTCAACAACAGCCTTGGGAAGAACGGCGTCATCACATTTTCCAGTTTGCGGACATGCATTTCAATTGTCGGCTTATTTCTCGCTCGGTCACTGCAGCCTCTGGGATGACTCAGTTTGTGGGACAGTGCAGCCACTGTCAGTATCACAGACAACAGCGATGTTATTCAATTCTCATCTATGCTAAGGTCATTCAACTTGAAACAGGGATGTTTGAGGGTTTTATCACATGAAATTTACAATGTTTGTGTCAGTTTTAATCATGTAAACATCCGGATGTACGAAATAGAACAAGTACACGATAACATGTATGTTAGTTTAACATGTAGGACATTTAAAGTCTTACAAGCATTTGGAATTTTTTTTACAATGATTTTGGAAAAGAAATTGTGCCAAAAACATCATTACAAATACAATGCAAGAGCTTCTTGCTATTTGTTGATCCTGTGTCATACATTGGACTTTCCATGATATATTTGGCAACTATAGATACAAATACTATGCCAAGATACCATATCACCAACTGTGATGCCAGGACCCCTGCCTCCACCTGTTATCCTATTTATTCATAAGTGATACAACATTTTGTTTAAATCTAGAGCAATCCTCTCTATATGTATATTGTAGCTGTTCCTGGACTTTTCCATGCAGCATGTAGCATTTTTGTGACACCTGCCTAGGTTTCTGTTTTTTACATCGCCATGTTTTTAAATTATGTATGACTTCTTGTGCTCCACAATTCCATACTTTCTTGTTCTTAGCCTGGCGTTTGTGTAACTATGTTTATTACTGCTTTTGTGTTCTGCCTTTCTTAGCATTCTTCCTGTTTTATTTTGAACGTCATTACTGTCTTGTTGTACCTCCGGTCTCCTGTGATTGCCCGCCTCGCGTTGTTGTGCTTCACCTGTGTTTGACTCGGCTGCACCTGTGCCCACTTATTCCCAGTGTATTTAGACTGTGTGCTCCACTGTCTCTGTGTCAGTTTGTCTTCTGTTCTGTTTTGTTTCCACTGCTCTGTTCTCAGTGGATTACTGGCTCACACTGTTCCTGTCCTCTGTGTTCTTTGTCTCTTCGGTTTGTTTCGAATTTTAAATATAAGGAGTATTTTTGGCACCCCTGTTTTGCCTCATTTGGTATTTTATTTTCCTTTATTTCATTTGACCTGCCAGGTCGTCCCCTCTCTGGCTTGTAACAATAGATGTATTTGGGGTTGAGGCAGATTTTCATACTGCATCTATTTTTACTTATTTGTTTTTGCAATAAATGAAAGAAATATACATTATTTAAAATAATGTGTATATATATATATATAAAGGCTCCTGGTTCGAGGCCACCCGCTGCCAAGTTACCACTGAGGTGCCCTGAGGATGGCACTGCTCCCCGGGCGCTTAAAGCTACCCACTGTTCACTTTGGTGATGGGTTAAAAACAGAGGTCACATTTGGTTGTGTGTGCAGTGGTGTGCTGTGTCACAATAACAAATAATTCACTTTCACTTTCATAAATAGCTGGTATGTGCTATACTGATTCCTGGTTGAGGGTAAACTAGCCTCCACTGGGCTTAGATTATTGATAATGTTTGGTGCAAAACCACTGTATACAGAGAGCAGTAGGTGAACAACAGTGTCACACAAGCAACACAAAAACTGGATTCTTCCTTTTGTCCTTGTACTGCTGGATCATCTGGCTCCACCTTACTGTCTCTTGGCGCCTCTCACACCAAACATTTCATGTCCTCCTACACCAAATCCATGTATCCTCGCTGAGATCTCTCTCTTTTTCTTGCCACTTGCAGCTGCATTTCTAAACCTAATAACCAATAAACATAAACAAACAGAACAAGCACATCCAGACAAACATTTCCTCTTTGACTTTGCTTCCAAACCAAATCTGTCTGTTTTATGCTCATTCCTAATTTCCTATAATCCCAGTCTCCTCCAGATCAGCCTCCCTCTTACAGGCAGCCCCACTGTCTCTAAACCATTTATCATAGCAGGTCTCACTAATGTCTTATAAATCTCCCCTTTTCTTGCAGCTGCTCACCTTTTTTTCCACATCACCCCGGAAATTCATCTACACCCACTCCACCCTGTCTGCACCCTCCTGGTTTCTACACTCTGGCAGAGCACTTTGATTCCACTTCTGATGCTCACGACTACACTTCTGTTCCATCTGGTGTTGGCTGTCTTTCTTCATCATGTATTACATAAATAAACACTGTGAATTTCAGACTGAAATGTGACATGGATAACATGCCCCCGAATTAAACCTCAATCATAGTGTCTGTTACAATGTCAGGGTATAGAGAAATAATCCTTTTTTTTGTCATTTCACACTGACATTAATGACATTGATCAATTCACAGTCTGCCTACAGCCATGATCCCCTGGCATGACAAGAGCCCTGTCATGCTGCATACCTTTTATTTACTGTCATAGTGAGTGCTGAAGTAGCAGCAGCATGAGTAATTACTGCCATTCATCAATTTATTTTAACAGCTCTCTGATCAATACGAACAACCATTATGGTCTCCCTCCACTTCAACACTTTATGCCGAACAGAGTTTTTACAGGATGCCAAGGTAATCAGGAAGAACGATACGTAGTGGAGGCTGCTGAATTTACACGTTGATTAAGATAATTAGCAGGATCTCTCTAAATAAAGACTCCCTGCTGCCTATCTCTGCATCTATGTCGAAGATTCTTTTAAAAATAGGGATAAAAAACTCAGTGATTTTACAGTTAAAAAGTGATTTTACATTTTCATTGAAATGGTAAATCTTTCATTTGTCCAATGTGGGGAAAAAAACCCTGCATTTTGCATTTCAGTTCTAAAAGGACGGATTCTTCAGAAGAAAAGAAGAAAAAAAACCTGGACGATGGAAGAAAAAGAAAGGTTCCAATTTACAGCCAGGGTTCAAAATAAACAGGAGAGCTCTAATGAAACTCAAGCGACTTCACACTTAGGCTCTGGTGAGGATCTGGTTACAGACTAATGCTTCTTCACTGCACACTGAACATGGCTGAAGCACCAAGCAGACAGAGCAGGGACACTGGACATCTGTCACACATCATACAATCAATGTGGGTCAGCGTGGGTCACAGAAAAATAAGAAAAAAGAAAAGGAACTGATACAGATGCCACAAGAATCACCTGAGCTCAGTCCCCTCAAAACATTTGTCATATAAGAGGAAAAAAACAGAACGGCAGCAATAGTCAGTGTGGAGTTCAGCTAAATAAAGACAAATAAATCTAGAAATTTGAATTCTGTGATTTTGGATTTGGTCAGTCCAGGTGAAGTCTTCTGCAGCTCAGATACAGTAATAAGGAACCTGTGCCAAGTTTTAAATCCAGTTCTAATATTTAATGTTTTTATTAAAACTAAAAACTCTTTAAATGTGTGAAGTTTACCTCATATATTATCCCAGACAAGTCAGAGTATGATGGTCTGTTGCGGTTTGACAGGAGGAAACTCAGCTCAGGATGGTCATCTCTTCTTCCCGGTCTTGACCAACGTCTTTCTCCCCACTCCGAAACCACAAAGAGCTCGTGGAAACCAGCGCTTTATTTCGTTACTGTGTCTCCATCACCACCAAATTACAGAGTCGGCGTTTCAGTCCTCTCAATCCTTCAACAACACTGCGCCGCAGATGGACCTTCAATCGCCCACAGTTTTAAGACGGCGTGGTAGAAAGAGGAGGGGAGGTGTTGAATTAAATGGCCAACAGGAAGCTCACTTCTTTGGTTCTTCTGAGGTTCTGACTCTGCTCGGGTCACGGCGTGGATGTGATGCGGTCTGTGGACTGGTCCTGTCCTGTTCCGTCGTCGTTGAGAAGCAGCAGAAGCTGTTTGACGCTGCAGAGTAGTGATGTGCGAATCGATCCTTGTGCGCCCTGCGATCCCACACGGGCCAACAGCACTGCCTGCTGTATTTAAAGAGACACAGCATAGGAAAGAAAGGGGAGGGAAAAGAAGAGGAGAGGAAATTTGAATTGAGAGGAGAGGAGAGGAGAGGAGTGGAGAGGAGAGGAGAGGAGAGGAGAGGAGAAGAGAGGAGAGAAACGTAGAGGAGAGGAGAGGAGAAAAAAACATCAGATTATTTTCTAACATTACATACTGACCTTTGACACTGTTTAGTTCAAACAAATGTTTTCTTAAAAAGAACAAAACAAAAACAAAGTTAAATTAATCAAATAAAAATAAGGAAAGACAGATGAGGAAACTATCATCTCTGTACATTATCTACACCAACAGTCAATCACAGGAGCCACTGACACACAGACGTCAGGAATAAACGCATCAGAGTCCGACACCTTCACTTAATTATTCATTTTTAAATGGGGAGAGGAGAGGAGAGGAGAACAGAGGAGAGGAGAGGAAAGGAGAGAAGAGAAGAGGAGAGGAGAGGAGAAGAGAGGAGAAGAGAGGAGAGGAGAGGAGTGAGCGGAGACACTTGTTTGTTCCTACGGCTGCTGGAGTTCCGATCCAGAAGCAGAGGCACACAGTGCACGTGTGTATGTGTGTGCATGCATGTATGAACGGACCACAGATCCCTTTACACTGTAATTTGCACCGTGCTGTTCATTGGAAAAGCAAAGTTGGAACAACAGCCCTATTTTTAGTGCAGGAGTTTTTTTTCTTTTTCCACACAATGAAGACTATGGTGCAAACACACACACACTAGTGCTGGTGATAAAAACCACTGTTTGTAGTTGAAAAATAGAACAAACCTTATCAGGTTGTTGTTTTTGATCACATGTCAATTTTGTTTTTATTACACTGTTTATATTCATAATTATGAAACTGTGCATGGATTTTAAAGTTTGCAACATGTGACATAGAGTATGCTTTTCTGATGGGTAAGCTAAAATGTCAGGACACAGCAACCAAACTGGAGCTGAAAAAAGCAGAGTTGATAGAACCAAAGTTCAGTGCAGCTAAATCTTCAAACCAAACTACTGAATGAATCAATGTTCATAAATTGGTGACAAAATAGATAGACTGGCTACAAATGCATTTACAAATGCCATTACTCAGTTTATATCTCAGTTTATATGAGCCACTACCTGGGTTTTTGATTTAATTTCCCAGAGTTCCTCCATATCGACGAGAAGTGATTCTGTCTAAAAGGGGATTTTGTTCCCACGTCGGAGACATAACTGAAAAATTCAGCTTTTTTTTTTATTGTTTCACTACAGCAAATAGCAGCCAAATGACGAACAAACATAGTTATGTTTACAATACCATAAATCAGCAAGTCCACTGGTTAGGACAAATGTATAAATCTGTTTAATGTTTGTAGCGTGAAGATATTATTTTAAATGTGACACATGCTGTGACTCAGGATAAGTAAACCACTTGACTCCATCACAAACAGAGTTTGACAACAGTGTTACTTGTAAATGTAATTTCAAAATAATCTCTTATATTCCCCCATTCAAGTGTGTAGCCAGGCAACACCGTAGGTATAACCAATTATAGCCACATCTTAATGTGTGTTCAGCAACGTTTGTAATTTGTGACAAACTGCACGCACTGCAGAGGAAACAAAGATGCTCTCAGGCCAACTACAGTAATTAAAATACAGGCACAGTGTTTTTAAAACTCTGAACAGCCGTACATCCAAAAATAGCCTGCTTGTGTGTCTCCCTCAGAAATGTATGTCTACAGATGGTCAAAGTTAAAAAGTGGTTTTATGAACTGACTCAGGTTCTATGGATCATTTGACCTAAATATACAGAGGTGGTTTAACTGACCTCCAGGGGCACAGCAACGTATTTATTTTGAGACTACAGTGTACCAGGATCTGAAACTTTAAACATTAGAAAAGCTCCAAAAAACACAAAATACTGTACTTATTTCCACTGTGCAGTACAACCACGCAAAGATCAAATCCAACACAGTAGATTCGATATTTAGTATGTAGTAAGAGCCACATGTGGCTCTTCAGCCACAGGTCGCAGATGTAGATAGGTCTGTGGTAATGTTTTAAAAGCTTCGGTCATCAGTAATGACTGCAGCAGACTGAATTTAATGAGAAAATTCAGAACAACACATTCAGAACAGACATCGCATCCTTAGTGCCAAATCTGAAGAAAAAAAACCCATCAAGACTGTTTTTAATAAAAGGTTTAAACCCCAGCAAATGTGTACAATGTTATGCAATATATGACATTTGGAAATTTATTCTTTTTCCACTGAAATTTAATTAAAAAAAAAAAGAAGCCAGAACTCATTCTGTGGTTTGATAGACAGAGGACATCAGCCTGCCTGCAAGCATTATATCTGATGGGAAATGTACTGTTCCAGGTGAAAAGGAACTAGGCCAATGTCAACCACTGATGGTCGAGCCATCTTGAAGATTTGATTATGAAGCAAGAGAACAAAGGCTTTGGCCAAACACTTTTTCCAGGCGTCACCACAGGGCATGGATTTGAACCTGGGATAGAGACTGGTATCTTAACACTGCACTGTCTTTGTCACATTAAACACAGACAATGTGTAAAAATGTCACTTTATGAGCTGCAACTGACAGGATGTGATTAGCTAGATAGATATAGAAAGTTTGTAAACTTTAAAAGTATGTCAGTGGTTTCCGACATGATTCTATCTGTTAAAACATCTTTCACTGACCTTTACCTGAAAAAAGGTTCATCTCCACTGTCTAATTATTTTTCTAAATTTATAAATAAATATATAAATATAATAATAATGGCAGTCTTTAATTACACTTCTCATGATAACACTGATGCTCACTAAACCTTAATTAATTTGTCAATGTACATTAGTTCTGGAGAGAAAAAAATGACTGCATGTGTAATTTATATTCTTAATTCTATTTCCCTGTGTCCAACACTTGTTCAATGTATTCATATCAATACCCAGAGTGCTCAGAGGTAACTCAGGGTCAGTGGTACTCTGTAAACTTGGCTGTCGACCAGGATAACGATTAGAACTGTGAGCTACTAAAGTCCCATCTTGGTTGACACTGAGAGACATTTTGTTTTTCCTCCTGCCTTGCATGCTAATGTCAATCCTGACCTCCTGTTTTTGGTGTCACTCCTCTCCAAGTCACCTCCAGATGTTCATCTGTTGTGCAAGCAGGACTTCTGGCACCAAATCTGGGCGACTGTCTCTTCTGTGTAACCGTCAAATCGCACTGTGTGTACACTGTGCACTCCAATCAGTTTCATCATTCAGTCACTCGTACTCCAGGTTGTAAAATCAGTAAATGAGTGTATCACAAAGAGCACGTACACAAGAGCACGTACACAGGGATACTGTTCGATCTTTAGAGTTTCCCGTATCCACGACACTGTTACTCCTTTTCTAAAGCAAATAGACTGAGAGGTAACGACAGTCTCGGGGTTTTCTCTCACCCGGGACTTTGGTTAAACCTTACACAGCTGTGTGTAATCCTCCAAATGAGTTCCTCACTTACAGGCTTAACTGTGGTCTCTCCTAAAGGGACATCTCAGAGATGACTGT